CCAATGACTCTCCACTCAGTTCAATCAGTCATTTATGCCCTGTCATTATTTATTTTATTTTTTCCGACGCGGCAGCTGAAAGGGCACCGAAAGAGTGGAGGCTCAGGTGAGTGCAGGTCTTATCTATACCCTCCAGCTGTGTCCCAGTTCCCCATCACTGCCTCTGGTAACAGGAATTTAGTTCAGAGTTTAAAATTAGTCCGGGCATCTATCATTTCCCACAGGCTGAATAGGTTGGTATAGGTGCCCTGGCACAGGTAATCTGTCTCCACACATCAGTCTGTCCCGCCTCACAGCGCCATCACTCAAACACGGTGCCTTGTCACTGACGACAGAGCCAGTGCCTGCGGAGAAGTGAAATATTGCTGTAGGATACATAAGCAAACATTCAGGCAATTGCTTCAATGCATGTTCTGTGGCGAGCGTCAAAAGAAAAGAGGAAGCATCACTTTGTATCCAATGAAACAGAACTGAAAAGACGCTATGAATTAGTTATCACTGTTTAAGATATCCCCATGACCCTGATCTGGATAAGCATTCAGGAAAATGGACAGATGATTGTTTAATAAGTACAATTAAGAACTAATCGAAAATATCTGATTGTGTTACATATTTTACAGCTTAACACCCAAAATGTACATGCAAATTTTACAAAAGAATTACGAAAAAGGAAAAGAAATTCCTTAAGAGTGGCTTCTTACTGAGGCCAAAGCTGCAAGAACAGAGCTGACATCACTATAAATCTAACCCTATTTAAGAGCTGGAGTGTCTGAACACTGGAAAGGAGCTACAACAGATCAGCTGGAGGGCACAAAGCAGCTGCGCTAACACAAGACAGCCTATCTCTCACCTGCTGTGGACTGACTGGGTTAATATAGCGTGACATTACACACGCACCTCATTTTGTTGTACCAGGACAGACTGGAATAACACAGCTGAGGTCCAACATTTGTAAACATTGCTTTTTTTTTTTATTTAGATTTCTTCTCTTTTAAAGATTTTTTTTTTTTTTACATTGAACTTCATTCAATCTGCATGTTTCCAATTACTCCATGTTTCTTGCTGTGGCTGTGAAACCTTGACTTTCACTTGCTTACCTCTTACAGCAGATTATAGCTGTAAATATTTCCCCTTTTGTCAGATATATCCTGTTTTTGAGGGGGTTTTGTCTGTTTACGCTGATGGGACAAGAGTCATCTTTAGAAAATGTTGCCGGAGGTGTGACGCCAAAACAGTCGGGATTCTCCGATTAGATGATTCGAAACAGAATCAAATGCAGTGGCTGAAGAATGTCAATCTAGCAAATGTGGATTTGCATCCACGTCTTTAATTCAGTCCTGCACTCAGGATTGAGTCAAATTCAGTCCACATTCCCACACTTACACATTGTCCCCCCATTACCACCTGACAGAGACACTAAGTGATCTGACCCGTGCTCACTCCACATGCAGCGCACAGCTTATTGGTGTTTCCAGTCGCGGCTGCTGATATTCACCAGCACTGGCAGAGCTGTTAGGGTTTGTGGAAGGTGTAATGTTTATCGATCGTGGTGCAGGACTTGGGTTAAGGGTCTGGTCAGTCTTGGCTATCACTCCGGAGGATTTCTTCCAATGCTGTCTAAGAGCTTGCACCCCCCACCCACCCACCCACTTTTAATCAATAGCTCATTTGTGTGTTTCTTCACACAGCAGTAAGGGCAAAGAAAACAAAGGGCATCTTCTATGATAGATCTGACTCCTAATGAAATTTGCTTCATTTTGAATGAGATCTTGTGCTCTCGGGTCTGTTGTGTGTGTTGTCTGAATATAAAAGCTCATACATGCCTTGTAAGATTTCTAAATAATTAGTCTTCACACCCAGTTAGCAGTTCAAAAAAAAGTTCAAACTTGTAATGTTCATAAGCATGCATTCACACACAAAGGTCTATTAACAATCACTTACATCAAGCAGCTTTTTTTATTACTCTAATAAAATATATGACTGCCTTATACCAGGGAATTTGCTAATGCTGTAAACAGTGGCTGATCTTTATACTCTCATCACTGGTTGACCTTTGTGTCAAATAATTTTATATAGGTGCGTGAATGTTTTTTAAGTGGCTTAATAGTGTAGTTGTTGGCAAATTCGCCTAACAAGAAAAACTTCCAAGCTGAATCCTGGGAGAAGACACAAATCCATCAGGGTTGCATCAGGAAGAGCAAAGGGAGAAGCTAAAAGTAACATGTATTTCAAAAGTATTACTTATAAACACAATTGATGCCATGTTACAAATCAGCTTTAACTGCTATAATCCAAAGGCAGCAGGTTCAGCGGGTTCTTGTAAACAAACATATTTATTCTCAGATTCGTTAAATTAATGAAGACTAAACTTCTAAACTGAAGATTTATCAAACCCAGAGTGTAACAAAAATGAAAAAAAAAGTAGGAACTTATTGTAATACTGAACAAATCCTGCTTAAAATCAATATAATAATATTTAACAATGTGAGTTTTTAAATATGAATTTGTTCACCCAACACTAAATATGTTTTAAAATGGCGTTTATTATCAGATACTTGTGTTTTACTACAAATATGTCGTAGTAAGTACTGCATAGACAATTCTTTTCCCCCCCGTGTCTTTTGATTTATTCTCTACTGCAGCCACACTTGTCTGAGGTGTTAGCGGCACGTGTACTTGTAGACACCATAGTTCTAATTCAAGCATTCGTCATCATTTTAATTCTTCTGCTATTGTGCAAGATCACTATTATTGTCCTGATTATCTATATATGTATAAAAAAGAATAGCCTAGTTAATTAGAGGGGATGGTGCATTTTTTTTTTCATTTGTGCTCCTGCAAGGTTGTCTCTCCTTTAAACGGGGGCACAGTACCTGTTTTCTGTCCCATCCCTGCTGACACAGAGAAATTGTTACGTGTGAAACAATAAGACCACTGATCCTTTTCAAGGACAAGCTGCTCATAGACTCTACAGTCTCTCCAGGGAGGTTAATGACCGGTGCCTTTCCATCCTTGCCCCTCTTGTGTTTTCATGCACAACATTACAGGAGTAGCTGTTCTCATTAGCCAATGAATGTTCATTGAGGCTGTCTTAATTGCCCAAATAGACATATACTGGATAATAACAGTGCTGCACAGCAGGAAACACCGTGCCACTGAAAAGCAGGTATGCAAGCTGTGCAAGTATTAACGTGTTTCAGCCAAAACTGTTGGTTTGTCCTGGGGATAAATGTAGCATTTATAATTGTAGGAAGTGTGATTTCCTTCTGGCCACCTCAGGGTGAAAAGACAACTCCCTCACAACTGTTTCAGCTGTGATGTAACTGGTTTAACGTGAAAACACGAGTGAATACAGCAATTGGCGTGTGTCTGGAACAATTATGTTGAGTCGATCTGACGTTAATTCCTCTGGGATTAAAGTCAATAAATTGTACGATCACTGCCAGAAGTTTTGTGCTCCAGGTGAAGCTAATAAAAGGGATTTTTCTTGTTAACCTGCCAATGTAGACTTAAATTGCGGGAGGCACATTTAAAAATACACCTTTGAGTGTGCAGAAAATAGCACACTTAAAAATAACTCGGCCTGTTTTGTTGTTGGTTTTTGAGCTCACACAATATGAAGGTCAAGGCGTAAAATCCTGCAAGCAGTTGTTCTGCAACATGTGTTGAATATAAATACTGTATGTTGACACAGTGTTTGGATTTCGTGGTGAATGTAGGGCAGACTGTAGTACTTGTGTTTCTTCTTCCCTACTCTTTTGTCCACCTCTTTGTGGAGAGTGTTATTGTTCTAATCTGAAGCACTGAGGCGTGTTGGTTTCACAAACTAATATTTTAGAGAAAAAGCCTGCGGTTTATGGTTAAGTCATTCACAATATGAAAAACAGAGACGTAGATTTGCGGCATTACTTATTTCTTACCATCATAGAAATGCCATTGTTTGCCTAACCCTTTGCTTTGGAGCCTTCCACTTCCTATTTTCTATGTTTGTGTCATATGGTTGCAGATGCAGTAAATTCCCAACTGAAACCTCCCACGCTACGTCTCTGTTATCTCTACTGCTCATGTTACACAGATATTCTCTTTTGCTGACACAGCAGTCTGTCAAAGTGATTGTTGGATTAAAAAGGTCAGATTTTTTGTCCTTTTTACAGCTGTTGTGTGATCACTCTGAGCGATAACGTAATAAACCTCTGAAACATGAATTATGACTTTGATATTTGGAGACCACACATAGTGAATGCTACCTGGTTGAGTTCAAAGTCTAAAACTGTGGCAGCACTGCCCCCATGTGAAATCTCAGCAAAGAAATCTTCCTGTTTAAAAAACCAAAAAAGAACTTCCTCAGCTTGAAGTAGTCAGGAATAATTTCATTTACAACAACAATAACAAGAGTAAGAGACAACCTTTTTTTTAAATCTCAGATTTATTTCATTTGGATTTATTCGATGTTGTTTGCAGCAACACTCAGTCGTGTCGCTTTACAAAATAAATCTGGTTTCAAAGTAGTTTTAGTCTGAAGGCAAAACCAAGCAGGGAAAAAATTAACAGAACAGTAAAAAACCAACAAAAAAACCAACAAAAAAAAGAGCGAGACAATAACCAATCAGTTCAAAGTTTAACTGTAAACATGTAAAGACACAAATTTCAAACTCCTGTATTTTTTCCAGTGATCAGATCTGGTCAGTGACTTGCTCTTCTTCCTGACACGATTTTAACCCCTTAGCAGTCCTATTAGTCCCCTAAACCATCCAATGTCCCGTGGGCGGTACGTCCGACTGCTAACAGTTTAAAGGTCTTTCCTTGCCTAGTTTTTAGCACTCCATTTTTTATTTATTTATTTTTCTCAGGAAGTCAGTGCAGAAAGAAACGAAATGATCCCTCGCTAACTGACCTGGGCCTTGTGTGTTAAAGGCTAAGATTCCCTTCAGAAACTCCTGCTACAATGTTGTTGAACAGAACAAAGTCAAGAGTTTCCGTGTTAGGAATCACAGATTTTGGGGGCATATTCAGCACTCTGGTTGAACATGTTTAACAGCATTGAATAGCACCATGAAAAAGCTAGAGATTTAGAGTAAGTTCAAGAGGTTCTGAAGGGAAAGGGGGACGGCTCTCCTTTTTCGAAAGACTTCAGAAGTATCTTCTGCTGCTGACAGATGACACTGTAGACTTGGTGATGGCACCACCGCTACTATAACCACTGTAGGAATTGGACATTCCTGGAGAAGAAAGCAAAGCATGAATGTAAAGTGATGATCCATCCTCTCTATGTCATCTATTAGCTTACGTTTTATACATGATTTTTTTTTTTTTTTATAAAAAAACTTACCACCACTGCTCTGCTGCACATGGATGGTTGCACTGGCGCCTCCGCTGGCCAGTCTAATGGTTTAATAATAGAGAGTTAGTGTTTAATTTAGATATGAGTCTAATGCATGGGCCATGAAACTAAACAATTCAGTTTATCTCACCTGGATTCCTCTCCTTCCAGCAGTTTCCTGTAGGTGGCGATTTCAATATCCAGGGCGAGCTTGACGTTCATAAGCTCCTGGTATTCGCGCACCTGGCGGGCCATGTCCTGCTTGGCTTTCTGCAGAGCCTCCTCCAGGTCCCTGATGCGGAGCTTGGCGTCTTTCACTGCCAGCTCACCGCGCTCCTCGGCTTCTGCAATCTGAGCCTCGAGGTTGGCCCTCTGTGGAGAATCATGTCACGCATTCTTTAATAGTTGCCAATCTTTTTACACTATAAGGTGTACTCAGAGTAAAAGGCCTTGAAATGTACCTGTCCCTTGACAGCCTCGATCTCATTCTGAAGACGGGCAATCATACGGTTCAGCTCAGCGATTTCAGCCTTGGTTGTGCGCAAGTCATCACCATACTGTCCAGCAGAGGTCTGCATTTCCTCATACTATTATGAAAAAATACAAGGTGCATCAGAAACATAATCCAGAGAGTAGACCTTTTGTAGTGTGTATTAAAAGCAGAGAGGGGATGAGCATCAGCTTTGCTCCCTCACCTTCTGTTTGTACCAGCTCTCAGCTTCAGCCCTGCTGCGGTTAGCAATGTCCTCATACTGAGCACGCACTTCAGCCACAATAGCATCCATGTCAAGGTTGCGACTGTTGTCCATCTCCACAATGACAGAGGTGTCCTTGATCTGGCTCTGCAGCTCACGAAGCTCCTACAGAACAAATTGTTTATGGAAAAACAGTTAAGTTAAAAACAATTATTAGGGTGCAAAAAGAGAAATCACAATAAGTTGGTTAAATTAGACATTAGAAACTACATACAGCCTCATAGATAGCCCTGAGGAAGTTGATTTCATCCTGAAGAGCATCCACCTTGGCCTCCAGCTCCACCTTGTTCATGTAGGCAGCATCAACATCCTGGAAATGATGTCACATACAAACAAAAAACGGTCACTTTTACCACATCAAAAGTCACACATTTTTTAAAAAACTTAAAGGGTCATCTTGACATTTTCCCACCTTCTTCAGGAGCACAAACTCATTCTCTGCTGCTGCACGCTTGTTGATTTCATCCTCGTACCTGTTGGAACATAATGCAATACATCAGCACCTCTCCGTTTTTTATGTCTGGTCTTTAGAGGAGGTGCTGGTCGGTATATGTGTCATGTAAACACTTACTTATTCTTGAAGTCTTCAACCAGGCCCTGCATGTTCCTCAGCTCTGACTCCAGCTTGACCTTCTCATTACCCAGCCCATCGAGCTGCCTGCGGAGGTTGGCAATGTAAGCCTCAAACATGCCGTCGATGTTGGAGCGGGTGGTGGTCTGTTGCTGCAGGAGGCTCCATTTGGTCTCCAGCATCTTGTTCTGCTGCTCCAGAAAACGCACCTGGAAAACAGCACAAAATTTAAGACAAAAGATCAGATGCTGATCATTTTCATGTGTTTTTAACATTGAATCATATATGAATGTGGCTTGAGGTCTGTTTTGTGGTTTGGTTCTTTTAATTTTTAAAGAAGGGTATAATGTGCAGCACTTTTGTTATCAGATATAAAGATTGCACAACTTTACTGAGTGAGCAGCTAGACATCTATTTGACTTGCCACGCCCCAGTCACAACAGCTGTGACTCGTGAAGGCAGTTCTTCAAATGTACACTAAAAGTGTTAAAGTAAACTTTTAGGCCTTTTTATTTTGGAACACGTATCATTTTATCTTTTCCTTTCTTTAAATAATGCAGAATATTCCATGCAGATGTTTCGCCAACGTCTACGTGGCCTTGAGGATTTCTCTTATTGGGTCTGCAATTTGGCTATGAGTCATCCTACGTGCATTGTTGAAAGCCACACTGGCTCTCCAGCCATAAAAACTGGGTGTGGCAGTTAAACCACAGAAGACAAAGAATTGCAGCACTTGTTGTTTTGTGTGTCCGAGTGTCAAGGTATACCATTTACAGTTTCACACGAAGAAACCCATGACCCATAGTTCCCATCAGTGCAGACAGTATGACTGTAACATCTATATGAAGTAAAGGCTGATTTGCAGCTCTGTCCTCGTGTTGCCTATAACAACCAGGTGATAAGTGCAATGTGCAAATTGCAGACTTTGGACTATGCAGACAGAGTGCAGATAATTCCCTGTTCCCTGTGCTCGTCTGCCAAGTGAGGAATAGGCGAGTCGTTGCATTGTAATCGCCACCCATGTTTAGACAGTGGATAGATAGGCTTGGACGGGGCTATAAGCCAGCTGTTATTCAGAGCAGATTTTAAATGGAGCTGCTAGTTTAAAATCAACTCTGTCATGACCTCTGACAGAATTGAGGTTTTCAAATGCTTCTCTAATCGCAAAGGCTGTAAGACACTGGTGAATACACCACCCAGATAAGAGTCACAACTGCCTTCCTTTGTCAGTTCTGCTAATGTCAAGAGCATATTTGCATTTTGAGTATGGTACTCGTCTGAAAACAGATTGCCATTAGTGTGCTAGACAATTCACTTACTTTTAACTTTCTAATTCTTTTTGTTTTCATTCACATATCCAAGATGAAAACTTTGAACTATTCACGTGTAGCAGAAGCAAGAGATAAATCTGGCCCAAGAGGCATGCAAGTTCTCTGTACCACAATAATGAGGCCTGCAGTAAATTGTACATAGAACAGGCAGTCAGACAGAGAGATCAGAGGAACAAACCTTGTCAATGAAGGAGGCGAAGCGGTTGTTCAGGGTCTTGATCTGCTCCTTCTCCTGGGTGCGGACAGCCTGGATGGTGGGGTCGATCTCCAGGTTCAGAGGAGCCAGCAGGCTCTGGTTGACTTGGACAGCAGTGATTGGTTGTCCAAGTAGTGGTTGGCTAGAAAGGCCATAACTGCTTGATGCACTTATGCTAGGAGTAAAACCCGAACCAACACCACTATATGTGGTTCTCTTGATGGAGTAGGAGCTTGAGGTGGGAACCGACCTCCTGCTGCTGCTGCTGTAGCTCACTACTGATGCTGCCTTCCTGGGTTGATACATTTTCAACTTGTTGAGCAGAAGCAAACTGACGCTGAGAAGTCTTCAAAAGGAGAGCCAAGTCCCTCTGAGTGTCTGACAGCACACTCTCGCTGCTTTTATGGCTGTACAAGCTGGTGGGAGGATCTTCACCTGCCCTCTGAGTTTGGCTTTCAAGCCTTCCCTCCACCTCAGCTTACACGCTTCTTGCTCTCAATGACAGGAGTGGCCAGTCTTGTAAAACAGGTAGGGAGGGATTGTCAGGGAGATAAGCCTGGACACACCCTGCAACAGGACAAGGGAGAAGGAGCAAACAAGTAACGCAGAGCCAAGTGAAGTGGAATAAAAAAAACAACAAAGAAAACCTTTTATGTATTCTCTATGTTTATTATTGCATCCACTGAAGCAAAAGATAAAAATTAGAATCACAGTCAAAATATATCACAAAATACATAAACTTATACACTACCAACACACATGTAGTCTTGATATGTACATTCTTTCATATAAACTAGCTTTCTCCTCTCTTATCAAAGCATGCACATATATTCCAACCACTGACAAACAAATCACCAAAGTAAGCTTTACTCAAATTATGACTCTTTGTCTCATTACTGCATTCCTTCCTTCCTTTATGTCCTTATGTGAATCTGAGTATTGCTACTTCCTTATGTCTATTTAGCAGATGCAATCAGGTTAATATATTTAAGTGTGACATGTGTCATGCTGCACATACCATACTTTTCCTTTGCTAAATTTATATGGCAATATCTTACATACCATAACAGTTACTGATTAGTTCTTAGTAACACCTTAACATAAAGCACTGGATCAGACCATACAATGGTCCAAAAGTTGTAAAAAAAACAAACAAAAAAAACCCATCATTATATATTAATTAGATGAAGCTGGCTCCACCCTAACTACTGTTTAAGTTGTGTAAGCTTTTCACTGACATCATAACAAAATGCATCAATAAATTACCAAAATTTGGATGGTGCTTGTACGGCCGTATGTGCTATTTTATCACTAGTATTCACTTCGTTTGTATTGTCCTCTCTGATCAAAACTACGATTAAATCATTCGAAGTCAAGATCAGTTTTAGGAAGCACAAGAAAGTGACTAAAATTCTCATGAACAATGAAATCTTTTCAGCAGTAATGACATTCATGAAACACTTGTTAGAGAGTATAGGCCAGAATACGTAGCTGAGATGTGCACCAGCGGTTTGACTACTGTCCCTGGCATCAAGGTAGCATTGGAAGCATTGCCAAACAAATCATTTCCCAACCAATCATCCTAACAGCATTATAGGAACCTGATATTTAGCAAGTTTGTATTTCCATATTCACCCAATTATAACAGGCTAAATTCATGAGCAGTTGAATGTACCAGTGGCCATTCTAGTATAACAGATCTACCACCGCAGCCATACATGGTCTGGTACGTGGAGTCGAATAATATTACCATCTATGATTGCCATTTGTAAAGACATTTGTCATGATTCAAAACAAATGGCCCAGCCTAGTGTTGCTAGTTTTCTAGAGAGAAATGTTTGCGTCTAAAAGAATAGCGTGCTGTTAGCATTGCTGTTAGCATTGTGTTAGCATTGTGTTAGCATGCTGCACAGTACAGCATAGTTATAGCTATAGCAAAATAAATGTCCACACAGTCCTTAAAACAAGTTTTAAAAATATACTGCATATAGTTCACTACATGCAAATGCAAATGAGGCATCTGCATCACAACAGAAACAATAAGAATCCAACATGAAACTGCACTCACTTCAAACAATCTTTTCCTGTAGTTACAATTAAAAGTGCATGTAATCATTGTGCATCTAGTTAAATACACATTTGCATTGGACTTGTTTGCTTTTACACTGTTTTGCATTTTGAATACTGATTCTAGACATCTTAACTCATCTGTGTTATCAGTACTTACGCAAACCTGAGAGATTCAAGCATGGATTACTGCAAAGAAAGGAATAAACTTCAAGAATAAAGTATTATTTAGTCAAATGCCTCAGGCAGAGTTCAACATAAGTGCTGCCAGAACATTGTTGTATAAAATAATGCTTTACGCTTATAGTTTGTTCTTCCTTGTTCGACTGAAAATAATCTGCTCCATGAATCAGTAATGTGCATTCAAGATTGAGTGGTTGTTTTTTGTGCTTACTTGACCGCACCCACCGCTCCCATACTTAAACACTGACACACTAGTTTCTCACCTCTGTACCTTTGTGGGAGAGGTCTGCATTCTTTTTCATTCTTCCCCAACTTTTCACATGCACATGCCTTTAATTTCTACCGTGGTGTGGAATTTACTCTAAAAGTTCAACTAGCTGCTGCCCAGCTGTGATTCTGAGAAAATGCATGTTCCACTCTTGTATCTCACTGAATTCAAACAGTTGCATTACAGTCAGTTAGAGACCCAGGATTATGTTACCTGCATAAACAGATCAGTTTCAGTGCTGTCTCTAATGCTGTGCGGTATTTTCACAGCAATTCTCAGCGTGCAAACTTGAGTGCCAATAAGTCAACCCACACAGTAGGAATCACCAAACAGGGTGGGGCCCTGGTATCTGGTCCAAACAATTGTTTCATTGAGATATTTGATAAACAGGAATTAGGAGTGGTGCAGTTCCAGTAGAAAAGTAAAGACAAAAATAAAAAATTCAAATAAAATCTTGATAAATGTAGCAACAAAGTGATCACGACAGATCACTATCGCTATACGTTTTGTCTGTCCTTGTTTAAAATGTCATCAGCCATGACCCATCACACAATTAAATTTTGTCACACAATTGTCACAATTAAAAAGCTCAAGCTGGTCAAGTCTGAGTAATCTGAAGTGCAAAACCCAAAACACTGAAGTCAGGCTTCCTGTGAAGATGTATAAAGCCTTTAAAATGAGTTAAAATGTGTCAGTGTTATTTCTTTTGGGCTTCAAGAACTGTGACCAACTCTTTATATGTGTCCAGGCTCTAAAAACCTGTCTCCACCCACTCTGAATGGCTTTCTCGTGCCTGTCTTATATACTTGTGAAGGAACAAACTATCAGAGCATAGCTCAGTAATTATGGGGAGTTCAGTAACAGCGCCATTCCAGCTGCACACCTGACTGACGGAACATGTGATAGGCTGCAAGTTATGGTTGAATAAAGGTCTCAAAACATTTAAAAAGTGCCATTGTGAAGTGATATAATTTTATATCTCATAAACAAAAAAAAACTACGGCACATAGTATAACCTAGTTTCTGGAATTCCCTTTTGTACCACTGTAGTATGTGTGACCAGGGTGTGGACAGTTTTACACTGTGAAGGTGTGGTTTGGTAGGCTATGCCTCTTCATACTGACTTTTTCAATAAGGAATCAAATGGAGTGAATGAAAGCTATGTTCAATCTGTGAATGCAGTGCACATTTGAGATGAGTATCTAACTAGTACTGTAAGTTGCATTGCTGTATCCCATTTAAGGCAACGCATTTTACTCTTTCTCTCAACATACTAACAAAACTGAACATTTATGTTCAGGCTGGGGGAGTTGATTTCAGAAGTTGTTCCCACCTCACCACATTGAAACATTTTATTAGGATCACTTGGTGACACATGTTAACTAATAGGTACGCTGCTGCATGGTTAGGACAACAACTACATCCATAAAGCAGCATCTAGGCAGATGAGGTGGCATAAAATTTGAATCTGAGTATTGCTACTTCCTAGTCTTACTAGATACAACAACATGTTCATTTTCTACATTATGATCCCTAGTCAAGTCAAATATATTAAAAAATGAAATGTTTCAGGTTGTAATTGAAAATCTGCTAAACATGCAACCTTCTCTGTTTATTACTCATGTCCAGTTCAAAGAAAAGTTTGGTAGTAAAAGTGAAGCACAAAACAAGGAACTCCACTTCTGAAGAGCCGAAACGTTACCTGCATTTTCTTTTTCTTGTTAATGTGATCTAAACTTTCCATTGTTGTTTTGAAGCTTAGCCTCTGGCCTTGCCTCTAGCTGCAGAAAACCTGCTGAGCAGCTATGCCTTGCATCTTGTTAGTTTGAACTCAGTTCTTTTCTTAACGCACTTAACAAATTGCATTCTCTTTCGTCAAGCTGGAATGGACGCTCATAATTATTTTGTCGCTCCTTTTAATAATTAAAACAATTGCTGGTCCTTTTACTTTATTTACTTTTAGTTTATCAGATCACTATATCTGTCCACTGTGGGTGAGATAGTCATCTTCATGTCTGATGTGACTTTGGGTGGAGCACATTCCTGTCAAAATAAGCAGGTTGTGAAAGTCTGATTAATAAGTCTAATCTTTACGAATTCTTGAGTCTGTGACCAAGGAAACAGTTGTGCAACAGTTTCACCAGTTATAAAACTATTTTGAGTTTTTCAGAGAGGTGATACCAAATTCTTCGTATGGTGGTTTTTAATAGTAAAAACCACCATGCATGACATCCGCCCACAAAAAAACGAATTATAATTATGCATGCCCTTGTGTCTTTTATTTACATTCTTTACCCAGATATCAACCTTTAGATTATGTTTAACGTGCCTGCATACATACATATTTTACATACAGATTTGCATTTAAACCACTGGGTACAGAAACATCAGCAAGCTACATCGACCTTTGATGTTAAGTAGACTTACAACAAATATAGAATTAACTGTGTGTTAGTGTTAGAGCCCAGGGTTCGGGGGGTCCAGAGAAACTTGGCCGATACACCTGAAGTCAAACAAAGTCACCACCCATGCTAGGATAGCATCATCATGAAAGATTTGTTGTGCATAAGCAAACCAGGAAGTTACACAGAGCTGTCTAAGAAGCATTTAGTAACCTGGTAAATACTTGCATTTATAGCATTATGTGATAAAATGTGATACAAATGCATACCTAGCAAAGCATTAATGTGGATATTCATTTCATAGTAAATATTGGTACTCATGAATAATTTAACCTCTTGATTACTGTGAAATCCAAAGAAATTCATTAAGACACTGCCACAAGTTGACCTGTTGAACGAATATTTGTACCACTCTGTATATTAGCATACTGATAAAGTATGCTCATATAAACAGCTAATTTGTGATGTTCTCTCTTCTCTCTGCA